TTCCAACTCCTATTATAGTTTGTTTAAATAAAATTATTAACTTTATTTGTATGAATTTTAGGGGGTGTTTAGGCCAACGGCCTAAATAGATTGTATCACCCTAATGTATGGGGAGTCTTCCCCATTTACACATACAAGCCACTGTAACGTTAGATACTTATATAAAGAAAAGCTTTCTAAAAGCACCGTATGCATGTTAAGATTTTTTTCTTCTCTTAACTTCACTTCACCACAGAGGTAACGTTGCAAACTTTTCTAATAATTAAATAAATAATTTATACCACACAATATGGAATAAATTATACTTCCAATGTGCAAAAACTAACTCAGTCTTTATCCTCTTTCTTTTTAATTGTTTTACGTGTGAGTGCCAATATCTCAAGACACCAACACGTTAATATTGTTCCTTCCAGCCGGATTTTAATTAGTACTTTTATCAACAACAGAGAGAGAGAGCGCATACAGTCCACATTAATCTACTACCATCATCAACGTAATAGTTTGGAGCCTTTACCATAAACATCCTGCATATTTTTTTGGATCACACCGCTATCGTCGAATTTTTATCAGCGATACAATAACCGCAAGATTTCACTGAATCACAACAACATTCAACGTGCCACATTTGATTTTTCAACAAACCCATCAAGCAACCTTTAAGGTACGTGGTTATATCAATGTACTTACAAATTTGTAAAAAAGTTCGTGGTTAAACAAAATAAAAGAAACGCAAAGTGAAAGAGTGTTTTTGCACCATCTTCAAATACGCGTTAATTAAGCGAAAACAAAAAAGGGAATACATCAGTGCAAAACGCGAGTTTTTTTTTTGATTTTTTTTCTCGATAAAATTGGCAGCTAGAAATAGCAAATTTTCTTTAATAATTTATATAAGCGGAAAAGTCAATTTATACCACGAGATACAGCCATTTCGTATAATCCACATATTGTTGTTGTTCTTTTGAATTCAATATAGCGGAACATATTTTCATTCCATATATACACACACATATTTACAATTATCATAGCAATAATTCGTTTTCTTATTTTTTTTCTCTATATATAATTTATTTAATAAGGTTTTAATTGGCTTTGTTTCACAATCGCAAATATTACAGCACAGATTGTCTTCCGTTTCCTTTTTTGAGTTCGCGCCACTATATACACTCGGGTGCACATACACCCACTCAGCATTGGATTATTTGAACTTTTCTTGGCTACTATACAAATTAAATAAAATGACAAAAAAAAAACAAAGTTTTAAATTGTTATTGTTGATAACGGAGAACTCTTGGTTTAGTGTCTCCAATTCATATTAGGTGATTTCGCTTAAATCACGAATTCCCACGAAATAAGCGATTAGTTTTTTATCTGAAAACATATAGAATGTGCTACATACACTATATTGACATATCAGTATTTCTAAATTAATCTTCTTAACAATGGAGTCCTTTATTATAATGGCTGATGCCATCACTGAGTTTGAATCTGATTTTCAAGAGACACCAAACGAAGATCAGAACAAACACACCCTACCTACATTTCAAAATGAGTTGAAGGTTATGTGGTGAAAAGTCAAATCAGCCCCAGACAACCTTAATAACTCAGATCTTTCCAAAGATTAACGGCTGGCTGTAAAATCTAAGCAGAAAAGCAGTTTTCCTGTTACATGAGGTGCATGGCTGCCTTAGCGGATGATGCAGAAAAGGTAGAAAAATCTAACCATTCGGGAGCACAATATACATTTGCCTCCTTGCGACACTGAAGTTTTCAAAGGAGATTACCTTTCATGGCCGTCCTTCCGAGACATGTTTACAGCAATTAGTATTCAAAATCAACGCCTATCCCCCGTTGAGAAGTTATTCCACCTCAACCAGAAAACACAAGGGGAGACAAAGGAAATAGTACGAAGGTGTCCATTGACCAATGATGGTTTCAAATTGAAAAAGCTTAGTTGACCGATACGAAAATAAACGTATTCTGGTCAATACACAGTTGAAAATTCTATTCAATTTAAAAGCAGTTGAAAACGAATGCGGTAGCTCCATAAAGAAATTACAACGATACATCAGTAATTGCATCTTGTCACTTCAATGTCATAACATTGACATTTCGAATTGGGACGCTATTTTGACATATTTATGTTCAACCAAGCTACCGGAATGCTCATTAGCTCTATGGGAACAAACCATAGAAAACATAACGGAGATTTCCAAGTGGAAGGATATGGAAAAGTTCTTTTCAAACCGGTTTCAAACACTAGATACCGTTTCAGGTCTTAAGGACAACAAATCTTGTACCCACACAGCACCTTGTAGAAGCACGGCCGAAAAGAATTGGCACCTTTCAAGCGAGTTTTAACAATAATGTATGCAAAGCGTGCCGACGTCCGGAGCATAACCAACAAAATTACGAAGAAATCAGCAAATTAACGCCAGCACGGCGAATTGAATTTATCAAAGGGAATCACCGTTGCCTGAGTTGCTTGTCAGCCGGACATACAGTAACAATATGTTAAAGACCGTTTAACTGCAGCATATGTCGATCCAGACATCATACTTTGCTCCATCTTTCACAAGCAAGTCAGACAGAAGCAACATGTTCTAGGAGACTTCCATATGCAATAGACGACGTACCTTCGACCTCCAGACAGGCTCAGCACAGAATGGAATCTGCAAAGGAAGATCATAACTCAGTTAAAAATGTAAATTCATGTCACGCACATACAAACAGAGGAGTTCTAGTGGAGACAGCACGGGTACAAATCCTTTTCAATGTTATCAATTTCTCGGCCAGAGCATTGATAGACTCCGGATCTGAATACACTTTCATAACTGAAAGACTAAGACGCCGAATTAATCTGCCGACTAAACGCTTGCATGCCCAAGTATCGGGCATCAACAAATCTATATCTGCGCAGGTTAAAGAAGCGTGTGCCGCTCAATTACGGTCACCCATTGACCCTCTAATAAATCTAGAGGCAATTGCTCTAATCTTGCCAAAATTGACCTGCCCACTTGCCAAGTAAGTGCACTGACGCAACAAGCATTCCCAGAATTAGTTTTGGCAGATAAGAGATTCTTTGTAAATGATCCCGTCGATCTCGTCTTAGGAGGAGACATATACCCACAATAATGCTAGGTGGAATTGAAAAGAATGTGTTATATACGCTTCTCACTCAAGAAACCGTATTCGGTTGGATTATAACTGGCAGCACCGAAACTTCACATTCAGGAAACAATATAGTCTCCTTTTACATTGAAGCCGACCTGGAAAACAAATTAACTGCATTTTGGGAATCGGAAGATCTTCGCAAGAAAGTAAGCCTCAAAGAAAATGACAAATACTGCCAAGAGCTATTCAAAGCAATTACCAAAAGGAATGCTAATGGAAAATATGTGGTCTCCTTACCCTTCAAACACGATTATTCAAGTGATATTTCTTTGGGACCCTCGCTGAAAGGAGCGTGCACTCAGTTCTACCGCAACGAAACGCGTTTGGCAAAAAAACCTGAGTTGCAGACGAAATACAGCAGTCCTATGTGAATACGGGACTTTGGACCATATGTCTAAATTTCCGTTCAGCATACAAGAAGACTCCACTGACTGCTACTTTTTGCCTCATCACGCAGTGTTGAAAGTTAAAGTGGTATTCAACGCCTCATGCCCCACTGCTAATGTCGTAAGTTTAATTGACGTCCTACATCCCGGCCCAATTATGCAGGCAGACCTCCCGACTCTGATACTACGATAGAGGTTTTACATGTATGTCTTCAACAGCGATATAGAGAAAATGTATCGACAGATTATGGTGAATCGGGAGCACACGACAGTCCAGAGAATGGTTTTTCGTAAGAGCCCTGAGGAACCTATCAGTTTTTTCGAGCTGAAAACGGTTACTTTTGGCATTAACTGCGCGCCCTACTTAGCTATTAGGACTTTACATCAGTTAGCAGATGATGTTGAGAAAAACTACCCGATATCATTAAACATTCTCCGTAACTATATGCACGTAGATGACATACTTTCAGGTGGACATAATCCGGATTCCACAATACGTGCTCGAGAGGAAATATCAAAAGTAATGAAATCATATGGGTTTCCTTTGCGCAAATGGACATCCAATAACACTCAAGTATTAGATGGCATACTTGCTAAGTACAGACTTTTTGGAATTCGAAAACACTAGCACCGTAAAGGCTCTTGGAATCAGATGGAATGCCCGGTCTGACTATTTCTACTTTATTAGCAAACCTATATACAGCAAAGGAATCATCACGAAGAGAGCAATTCTTTCTGCGATCGCCAAGCTATTCGATCCACTTGGATGGCTTGCACCAATCATAGTAGTTGCCAAAATCTTGATGCAGAACATTTGGCTAGAGGGAACCGATTGGGTCGAAACTGTGTCGTCAATTACCATGAATCGGTGGCAGACCTTTGTAAGGAGGTATGCGGAAATTAACATCATCCGTATACCAAGATGGGCCAATTCCACACCGCGTGCCACTGCAGAAATACAAGGATTCTGTGACGCATCAGAGAAAGCATATGCAGCTGCGATTTTTCTAAAAATTATGGTTGAAGGCAAATATAACGTTAGCCTACTGATGGAAAAAACACGAGTAGCTCCAGTCAAAACGATATCTTTACCTCGACTAGAATTATGTGGCGCAGTACTTCTTGCAGAAAAAATGAAATCCATTATCAATCAACTCAATCTGGGTAATTTAACCACTTATTTCTGGACGGATTCTGCCATCGTATCAGCATGGATACGAAAACCACCGTGTTTCTGGTCAAATTTTGTTGCCCATAGAGTAACCAAAATAATCCAAAAGGTTGAGAACAAAACTGCCGCCATGATCTGAGTCTTCATCGCGCCAGTTTTGTTCAACCAGCAGACCTGGCCAGCAAAGGATTACCAGCCGGTGAATTAGTCGACTACTTTTTGTGGTGGCAAGGACCTTCTTGGTTACAAGAAGACGACACGATATGGAAAATCGAAACAACAAACAACTATAGAGGAAAAAAGAGTGCGTAATCATACAACATCAACAGTAAACGACTTCCAAGATATTCTGAATAGATTTTCTAGATTTTCGCGAGCTTTGAGAGTGATCTGCTATATAACGAGATTCTATCAGAGAACACATCCGAAAATAAAATCATTCTTTAAGACAGAGTCTAACTTGATTTCGCCCGAAGAAATTAAGTTGACGACTCAGTGTCTGATAAACATTTGTCAAAAACGATATTATAGTGAAGAATATGAACGATTGAAATCTGGAAAATCCATTGTGTGGAAAAGTGAGATCCTGTTTCTTAACCCATTCATCGACAGAGTATTATGGCATTATGAAAGTTGATGGGCGTCTCAGCGCATCTTCCGACCTATCTTACAGTGAGCGCCATCACACTCTTCTTCCATATAGTTCCAAGTTGTCCCGTTTTTATGTCCAGTTTGCCCATCAAGTATCCATCCATGGGGAAAATCGTCTGATGCTGCGGCTCATCCGATCACAATTCTGGATTTCCAGGGTCAAAAACATGATCAGGCGTGGATGTCCAAATATGTATATTCGAACAATGGAACCAACTTTGTAGGGGCTTCTAAATCATTGAAGGCCGAACTCACAGCCTTCATAGCTGATGCACGTTCTAGAGCATTGTCTAAATACCAACATCAGGTCCTAAATTGGCTGTTTATACCCGCTGCAGCTCCTCACATGGGTGGTCCATGGAAAGCAGGAGTGAAAAGCTTTAAAACTCATTTTAGAAAAATCGCAAACGATCATAAATTTACGTTCGAGGAGTTTAGCACCCTCCTATGCCGAGTCGAGTCGTGTCTCAACTCTCGACCGTTAAGTCCGTCCTCAAACAATTCTACAGACTTGGAGCCGCTTACTCCAGGTCATTTTTTAGTTGGTAGTGTGCTTAATGCACCACCAACTTATCAATCGTCAACAGATGGGAAAAACTGAAGGCCCTACACCAAACCTTCTGCAAAAGATGGAAGTCCGAATATCTTAGAGCAGAAGCGCAACAAATGGAGGCATCCTCAATCCAACCTCAAAATGGGGGACCTATTTGACATCAAAGAACACAACATTCCACCCAACGAATGGAGACTAGGACGAATCACCAAATTACACCCAGATCCCGACAACAGAGTACGGGTAGTGGATGTGGAAGCACCTAAGGGGCAAACTACGAGACCAATCGCTAAATTGGTCTTATTCCACTCCTACGACGACGAAAATACTGACATATAAATTAAAGCAGATTCATATACACAACACATAAAGTTATATGTATATGTTCATGTACACTTAAACAAACACATATCGTCCGATCATATATGCCTACAATACATACGCATATACATATGTTCGCACATACATACCGTTATATACGGACATACATAGCTACGTATGGATTGTTGTTGCTGCTTTTGTAGCAACATTGTCCCTGGTCCCCTGCGTTGACTTTGAGTCAGCAGAATTTGTTGCACAGCCACCTGAAATCACATCCTTTTGTACGGAGTACTCCAATCTGACTCTTGCTGCAACATCGGGATGTGGATCTGCAGAAAAAATATCCAACTTCATGGTGCCATCGACAACCTCAACATGAGGCATAATAAGGGGATCACTACCACGTTTTTTGGACCTGTAATACAAATAATATAAAATTAATAAAAGAAATAAAACTTTTATATACTTATTGTGGAGTTGCCACTTTATTATCATATCTTGTGATCCAGATTAAAGTTTTTATAAACTTTTGTCAATAAAAAACGAATAAGTTTATACATTAGTATACATATATACATACACATATATACATATACAAATTTTTCATGGGTGCATATATTACATTTAGGAAATTTTAATCTTTGCTGTTGGGAAGTCAAGTGGTGAAGACTCACCACAATAAGTTACAAAATAATTAGAGTTTCGTAAAAACAACCGAAATACTGTTTTTACCAAACACAAATTCGTTTTGCCATACGTTTGGCGTGCAACACTCACAGTTTTCGTTTTCATATAACCAATATGCGACTCCGCTGTACTAACCCAAGTGAACATACTGGGGGTCGCTCGCCGCTCATATATTACCTATCCATTTTGAGCACACAATTTCAGAAAGTTCTTTTTACTTTTTTATACTTTGTTTTAGACAATTTTAAAATTGATGTTAACAGTTAAGTTTGGACTAAATCATCTTACTTGCGCTTCTTTAAATGGACACCTTCAAACTAATATTTCGCACAATATGTATATTCCACTTATGCGATTAATTATACCAACATATTATTAGTTGCATACTGCAAACGTTCTCGCAGTATAATTTATGCTGCCGAAACAGGGACATTTATCGATTACGGCATGTGGCCTAAGTCGATGATTCTTGGATTGTTTTCTCCAAAGTTTTAAGTATTATGACAGATTCACACGACAAAATTAGAAAGGGCACCAAGCACAACTTGCAAACCCGAGAGCTTATTAGCCACCCAACTCATCACCAAGAACTCACAAATGAATAATGCCACCCCCTTACATCCATCCTCGACCTCTTGTCGTTTATGCTGCAAAAACCATGTGGTGGGACTATGCCCTATATACAGAGAAAAATCGGCAGAAGAACGTTTGCGCTCCGTTTTAATCCATTAGTACTGTGCTGTCTGAGCCCATTCCATAAAGTGGAAATCTGCACCAACAAGTACCGGTGTTAACGGTGCAACGAGAAGCTCCATACTACGCTGCATATGGAAGAGGAGACTTCAAACCCGACGGTTGCAGTTGTCGTTGAAAAAGACAGCGAAGGCTGTGCTCTCCTAATTGCCGTCACCGAACATTACAAGTCATGGGTGCAGTTAGAAGAGGAAGAAGAAAAACGTTTGATGGAAAATCCAGCACCAAGCGGCAGTACCGAGTTACGTCGTTTTCGCCCACTACTCCGCCATGAACAGGTGTGTCTCGCGGACGATGGCGCGGAAACACGTTCTTTTCGCCCATCGCAGCGCAAGTCACGGGATCGGCTACAGCGCGGAGCTGAACCACGTCCTTTCCGTCCGTCTCACCGCCATGTTAATCAAAAGAAGCCATACAGCCGACAAATAAAAAAAAAAACCCTTACGCTTCAACGCTTGCCGTCAGAAGGCTAGCGGTAAGGTCGTATAACTCGAGGCGCAGCACCACCACCTATAATGCGTTCCTTTGTCGTCATAGCCTCGGCGGCTACAGTGCCCATCGAAGCAAGCGGCCGTCTTCATTTGGTCCGCGCCCTTATCAACCCTTGCGCGCCAACAAGTACAATCGATAGGGATCTGGCTACAGAACTACAGTTGAAGAGACTCCAAACTTGGTGCTCAATAATATTACGTTGCAAATACGGGATAATTCAACGAGTTACCACACAAGCCAGAATAGTCAAACGCCACTGCCGCTTGAGCCCCGCCACAAATATCGATTCGGCTGTGACAAACCAATTCCAGTTTATGAGGCTGGCGGACAGTACCTTCCATCGGAGCACGCCGACTCGATTAACACCAGGGGCCGACGTCTACGGCCAAATAACGGTCGGAATTGCGCCTCCTTCTATTGTATGCGCCTTAATGACTTAACCGTCAATTTTCGGCCTCATAGTTTCCGATGCCATTCAGAGTTGATAAAAATCCAACATTTTGTAAATTAATTATAGAATTGAATTACATTTCAAATAAATAAGAGTGCATTGAAATATAACCACGTCACTTTAGTTTTTTCCACCTCCTTTTACAGTTTTTTAGGCACAAAGATGCAGTAAAATAAATTCAATAATAAACAGCAGTCAAATGTATTTTCCCATAGGACAACAAATCAGACACATTCGCTGTTCCAAACTCAGCAAGCCTCTCCAGGTGGAACACTTTCATCTTGTTTCGTGGATTCCCAACGGCTTGGATCCGATACACTACGTCGTTTAGCCGTTTGATTACCTTATATGGACCTTCCCAATTACATTTAAGTTTTGGGGGCAAACCCCTCTTCCGTTGTGGAACACAGCAACACCAAATCTCCATTTGGGAAACCCTCGGAGTTCATCGCCTTGTCATACCTGGCCTTCATTTTGTCACTCATAATTTGAGTTCGCTGTCTCACAAGAGCATGTACCTCTCTTAGCTCTTCCTCGAGATCGGTAGACGTTACCTTCCCAATTCTTCTCGCATCGCCAGTTATTCCAAATTTTAAATCGCTGGGCAACCGTAGTTCACTACCAAACAGTATCCTCGCAGGTGTTTGTCCTGTAGTTACATGCACGGCGGACCGTTATCCCATCAAGAAAAGCGGTATATGCACATCCCAATAATCCAGATGCTTTTCCACTACTTTCCGCAAGTTCTCTTCCAGAGTCCGGTTGAATCGCTCTACCATACCATCTGATTGAGGATTCTATACTAAGTGGTCGACGGGACATAGCGTCAGCATTTCCGTGCGTATTCTCCTTGCGGTGCTCGATTGTGAAGTCATAACTTTGAGAAATCGATGGTGCATCTTCCTCTGCCTTCCGTTTTCGCTGTACCTCCTGTCTGCTAGAACTTGTTTTGCATTCGCGTGCGTAATGACCAGGCTTTCCTTATTTAAAGCACTTTCCCGCTTGAGTTTTGAAACCAGAACGATTCATCCCTTCTAGCGATTTCAGAGTTCTCAATATTTCTGTCATCACATCTGGTGTTCAACCTTTACTTTATTTACTTTGTAGGATGGTCTGCTTATGAGTGCCGCCGTTTCACGTGTTTGTGCATACGCAACAGTTTCAGCGAATGTCAACTTTGGATTCGCATATGTCTCTCGCTTGGTGTACACGTCCT